AATTTCCCTTTTATTATTATTATTGCAAAATTAACGATTTTCGTATCCGAATATGGTTCCGGAGAGAGATCCTAAGAAACGGCTAACCTAAGCTACAAATTCTACCCCCAAGCTAACGAAAAATGAAATTATAAGTGTGTCACAGCACCGAGTGGCCGGGTCTGCTAGTATTATATAAACTTTTAGTTACACTAGCATTTCCCGCGGCTCCGCTCGCGTTCAGGTGACCAAAAACCAAATTCTTAGGTTATACATATGACTCTTACAATGTAGTTTTTGTATTTTTTCTCCGAAATGAGATATTTTCCCTCGGTAAAATGTATCCTATATGTTGACCCGGATAACCAGCTATCATCACACCAAATTTCATAAAAATCCCTCCAGTGGTTTTCCGTAATGCGGTAACAGACAGACAGACAGACAAAAATACTAAAAACTATAGATTCGGCCTCTGCATCGATAATAATGTCTATTTCAATAAGATTTCCCAAAAAATATTTAATGTGCAGATTCGGCTTAGTTACAATTTTATTATATGTATGGAAAATATATTTAACTTGACTTCTGAACTTTTTCATCGAATCCGACAAAACATGCTGTTATACATATGCATAGATACATGTGTTGTTGCGTAACGTATTATAAAAACTCTTTGTTTTGCTACATATACATATTTAAATCAATGAATCAACAGAAAATTTAAAATATTTTATTCATTATATTTTTTTTATAATGTTTTACCACACGTTCGGAAAGAAAATACCTCAGTTTTAAGAAGAACTGGCAAAATAATGTATGTGATATACATAGTCTGGCCATAAATATTGTTATAATTAAAAATAAACAAAATATTACATTTGAATTTGGAATCTGTCATTTTATATGATTCTTCATAGTGTTTTCTCATTTTCGCGCCAATACATTGTAAAATATGTTGTGATATTAAAATGGAGTGGGGTGATAAAGAGAACCGAATCGCTGCGATTGCATTACACAAAGGTATGGAACCAAATACAGTTTTAAAACTCTCCATACGCTTGATATTAGTTAAATGTTTATGTACCGGGCTATTGATAGGTACAATAAAATCTCGTCTGCTTGTGACAGAAAAAGATCTGACCGTCCACGTAGTGTTCCTACGAAAAAGGCGATCAAAGCAGTAAGGAAGCACTGGTCATTTTTTAACTGATAATTTAAAAAAAGAATAGGGTGGTAAAATCAAAACAACTAGGTACTTAAGCGGTACGCAAAGGGAGGTTAGGGAGGGAGAATTTTTTTACAATTAAGCAATCAAAACAGCGGCACATGTGTATCAAGATACCATTCTTGAGAAGGTAGTTAAGCCTCTTTACAACACCATGTTCAATAATCAGGAATAGTCCTTTCAGCAAGACTCGGCGCCGGATCATAAAGCTCGATCCACACAATCTTGGTAAGAAACCCACGTTCCGGACTTCATCAGAGCTGAAGACTGGCCGTCATCTAGTCCCGATATTAATTCGCTGGATTATGATTTATGGTTAGTTTTAGAGAGTATGGCTTGTTCTAAATGCCATGATAATTAGGAGTCCCCAAAACAATCCATACGATTGGCAGTGAAGAATTTTCCCATGGAAAGAGTGCGTACTTTTATTGATAACTGGCCTCAATGATTAAAGGACTGTATTGCAGCCAATTGAGAGCACTTCGAATAAGCTTTATATATTTTTAATGATTTTATACTAATGTCTTAAACTAACACACTGTAATAGTAATAAATGTTACGTGTAATAAAAAAAATGTTTTTTTTTCTTTGTAACAAAATTTAGGGCAAGACTTTGTATATAAAATTTTCTTTATCTTGTTTCCTTTGCGTATTTGACATTTTTTGTACTGCTTTTTGCATGTTTTAATAATTGCTAATTTATTTGCAAGTTAATAAAACTTGCAATTTATGCGATAATACCATTCATGACGTACCTACTTAAAATAAAATATAATACTAACAGAACCCGCGGCTTCGTTCGCGCTAAAACTACAAAAGAAACTAAAAAGATAGGTTTCATATAAACTTTCATTCCCTATTTTACCCCCTTATGGGATGAATTTCGAAAAATTCTAAAACAAGTATTAGTTAATTGTAACGAAGAGCATTAATACTAAATTTCAAGGAATTCTGATCATAATTTTTTTTGGGTTGTATTATAACGTGTTTTCCCGTGGGAGAGAGATAATCTCTCTCGGTAAAAAGTAGCCTATGTCACTCTCCAGTCCTCCGACTATCTCCACACAAAATCACGCCAATCCATCACTCTTTTTCCACGTGAAAGAAATATAAACAAACACACTTTCACATTTATAATATTAGTATAGATTGTAAATATCTTACATTTTGACAACACTGACAATTTATTTTTTTAAATATAATTGTCGTGATATAAATAACAGATTATCTATCACTTATGTTAATAGATGGGCTGCACTTAATATAATTTCAGCCGCTGGTATTTTTAAAAATAGCAGGTATTATAACCCATTTAGGTGTAGTTTTTACTAATGTATTGTGGTAAGCTTTACTTAACACTTATTAGTTGTTTTATATGTAATGGGTATACTTAAGCTAGGTTCTAATTTTACAAAAATATTAAAATAACTAGTGGTGTTTCATCTCCTTCAAGTATATTATTTTTGCGACAAAAATTTAATGTCAAAATTTATTAAAATATAGGTACATATTCCAAATGATAACCCCCGTTTATTTATTTTTTACATTTTACTGCCTGGAAGTCGGTTTTTTTAAGTTTTTTTTTAATAAATACTTTTTAGTTTTTATTTTTCCATTTTCAGTGTAGACGTAATTAGCAGGTAATTTGTAAGAAGAAAGTTGTTTAATAACATATTCGATTTAACAATTTATTTAAAAAAATATTTATTGTCGATTTTTTAAAAGACCCCTCAGACGATTTCGATAAAATATATATGGGAAGTATACTCATAATACTTTCTTAGATTTACGCGAATACTTGACATTTTAAATAAAACTATCTTTTCGGATTTTTTCGCGAATTTATTTGGATTTTTGGTTCCTGACGTTTTGAATGCTTTACAGCATTCATGGTCACGGGAGAGACTGAGGTGTTACATGTCTTGAAGGTATAGTTGTTACAGACAGCCTACCCACAATTAACAAAATGAAAATTGCACCAATTACATTACAATATTTTACCGTCGCAATACATCTGCTGTCTGCAAACATAGCCAGGACCGCCCAAGCCATTATATTCGCTTCGATAGACCTCAAATCCTGGCGAAAGAAAACCGATATCGCCCTAGAATGATTCGAGAAGCCATAAAAATTGAAAAACATACAAATTTCAATAGGGAAGATGTTTGAATTTGAATTGTGGGTATGCTGTCTGTAACAACTATACCTTCAAGACATGTAACACCTCACTCAGTCTCTCCCGTGACCATGGATGCTGTAAAATAAATTCGCGAAAAAATCCGAAAAGATAGTTTTATTTAAAATGGAAGTATACTCTTTGAAACAAAACAAAAAATTTCGAAATCGGTTCAGGGTTCTTCGAGTAATCGGTGAACATACATAAAAAAAAGATTCCGACGAGTTGAGAACCTTCTCCTTTTTGGAAGTCGGTTAAAAACAAACAGAAAACTTCACATTCTCATTTCTAATATTATAATAATATGGATGAGCTATTTTTTGTTATTTATTCAACTGGAATAGAGTTCTAAAATTTAAAATTCAAATTTCTTGCAGACGTTAACTTTAAATACTTAAAACTTAACTTTTAATTAGTAGTTGAGGCTCCGCCTTTGACGGATAAATAATATCGCAGCCTGTTTAATACCGTTTCTATTTTGAAGATTAGTGTAAAGGTAATTTTTGTTTTAATTTTTTGAAAATATATATTTTTAATTTTATTTCATTTCTTCAATAGGGAATATCCGTGATTTTTTTTTTAATTTTTCATATAATAGCTAATATGATTATAAAATTGTAAACCGATACGGATACTTTAAACACCCGCCATTTCGCGCACTTGGTGTGATGTCACAGTATCATACATAAAAAAATAAGACTTAAGTTTGTAGCGTGAAAGTCGCTAATCGCTCTCTTATGATAATACTTTGACGTCATATTCAGTCTGACCAATGGCGTTCGTTTCACTTACTTTGAATTTCCCACCTATACTTGCACTTTTTAATAATTATTTTCTTAATCAAAAAGAAATTACATTAAATAATATTGATATAGGCTTCATTCAAAAGCAATAAAGATAATAAGAAAAAATATTTCACCTTTATTTAAATCACAAGCATATTTCCTAATATTAACTTTTTAAAAAAAATTGTAAGTCTTATTCTAATAATTAAATACATAATATCTACAATATCACATTTAAGCAATAAATTGTAAATTTATTATCTAACATTTTCATATTTTGATATGTAAGACACACATACGTTTGAATATTCTAAAACAAATCCATACTAATATTTTAAATGCGAAAGTAGCTCCGTCTGTCTATCTGTGTCTATCACCTTCCGCTGAACTGATTTAGATGAAATTTGGTATGAAGATAGTTTGAGACCCTGGGAAGGACATAGGATAGTTTTATCCCGGAAATCACTCGTTAAGAGGGTGGAAGCTTGTATGGGTAATCAATCATTTATATGTATGTACATTGTACATATACAAGTATATAGTCTATCTATTCTATACTAACCATTAAAACATACGCATGGGGGGGGGGGGGTAAAGAATACTTTTCGACCTATTCTTATACCTACCAAATCTACAGAAAAAACATTAAAATCGGTCGAGCCGTTTCGGAGGAGTACGACCACAAACACCGTTTGTTGTGTATATGTAACTTGATTTTTCAGAATTGCCTTGAACCACCACCACCACACCATTTTATGTTGTGTATATGTAACTTGATTTTTCAGAATTGCCTTGAAACGAACAAACATACGTAAGAAAGGACCATCCATACATAATGGAAGAAGAATCTCAGATACAGAAGATGTTTTCTGGCTCCACGGTGTTTTTGACTGGGGCTACAGGATTTATTGGGAAACTTTTGGTTGAAAAGCTTTTAAGGTGAATGTGTATGTATGTATGTATTCAGCCCTTAAGGTGAATGTTATTCATTAATTTTTAGTGCGTACTCAACTTTTTCTGAAGGGATAGTACGAGTAAATAAATAATTAAATTAAATATAATATGTAATAATAGATTTTTTTTATTGCAGATCATGCCCTAAGATTAAAAAACTGTATCTTTTGATTAGACCTAAGAAAAATAAAGATATTAAAAAAAGATTGCAAGAGCAGTTTGACCATTTGGTATGTTTATAACACTAATTTTCTAAACTGCTATCTAAATTTAATTACGGCAAGCACGATCAGTTGTAGGCGTAAAGGTTCTGGGTTCGAGTCCTGAGTCGAGTCAAGTGTAATTTATACGAGTATATCAGTTACAGCCCGGAGTTGAGAAGTCAGCGATGTTAAACTCCCGTGCCTCAAAGCGTACGTAAAATCACTGGTTCTGCGCCTAATGTATCCCCGGTCGTGTTAAAATATCTTCTTAAATCTAAGAGAAATTTTTGCAACTATGCGAGCTTTTCTTAACAGGGTTAATACAAAAATCTAATCTGTGATTGATTGATTGAGAACAGTAACAGTTGAATGTTGATTTTTTTCCTTTAATAAATCATTGCCTCATCTAAGAACCGAAAGGTCAAAATGTTGTTCTTCCTTCTATACTATGCTTATAAATAGTATAGTGTAGAAGTATGAACTGCACCAAAATAAATTTATATAAAATATATTATTTTCATATTTTTCAGCTATATGATAAATTAAGAGAGAAAATGCCAGATTTCTTCAAAAAAATCGATATTGTTGAAGGAGATATTGGTCAAATCAATATGGGAATGAGTGATGCGGACCGAAGCAAGCTTATAAATGAGGTAAAAGTTTATCTGTTCATTAAGTTCTTTATCTTACAAATTTTTCATATATATATATATATATAATATCTAATATGTATGTATGTACATCTGATTCTTGGATCACTTAATATAACTCATAATAGGGATTCGACATGACAATTTGTATGTGGGACTCCTAGTGACTTTATAACAATTTGGAAAATATCTCATTTCTGTGAAAAATAGAAAAACCGCATCGTAAGAGTATGAAAATGTGTAAAACCTAAGAATTAAAATGACAAAGATTCGCGAAAATCTAAGAAAGTATTAGATATTATTATTATTTTTTTATTTCCCAGGTCGAGTTTATTTTCCACGGCGCCGCAACTGTTCGCTTCGATGAAGCGTTAAAGACAGCTGTGGAGATCAACGTGCGCGGGACAAGAGAGATTCTTACACTGGCACATGCATGTACCAAACTTCGTGCACTTGTCCATATTTCTACCGCTTACTGGTACATGTTTTATTATTTTTTCCCCAGCGACCTTCGCTTCGCTAGATTGTATCCCTAGGTATGTCTTAAATGAGTAAAAATAATTCTTGCATTGTACCTTAAAAAATAAATAGATACATAATATGGAGCATTCCACGCCAAATCCAACGGTTTCAAAAACTATTATTTTTGATTTTCTTAATATTTTGGTATTTTTAGTACCTCTGAAAAGAGGCTTTCTGGTAAATTTTGAGATTTTTTTAATTACTGGTTCCAAAAACGGTTTTGATGAGTCTCTTCAGATTTAGCCAGCGTTAGCTCCATATAAATTTCTAAGGACGTCTCGACAGAACCAGTTATTATATTTTCCCGTAGGAATCAAAGATTTCCTTTACCAAAAGTAATAAGCTATCACTACACAAAATTAAGTTAAAATCGGTTCAGTATTTTTGCGTGAAATGCAAACAGAGAAAATTTTCAATAACTATTTGTGTTTTGAGATCTATATTCTGTACACGATACGATATATAGGATTAAGCTGCCGAGAGAAAGAAGTAGAATATATTGTACAGTAAGTGAAACATAATAAAATTATTTACTGAATAATCTTATATATTTAAACGAGCTATTCTTGTATATATATATATATATATATCAATATATAATCTGAATCTCGGAAACGGCTCCAACGATTTTCATGAAATTTAGCATGCAAGGGGTTTCGGGGGTGATAAATCGATCTAGATTAGTCTTATATCTGGAAAAACGCGAATTTTCGAATTTTCATGCGATTTTATTTTGCATTTTCACAATTTTTGCATTGTCACTTCTGGTGAGTGGGCGGCGCCACTGTGCAACTGTCAACATCGTGTCCGTAGTTACATCAAGTTTAAATATATTTAAGTGAAAATAATCTAAAGAGTAAATATAAATTTAAATAATAAAAATAAATTTTTAAATAAAACCTATGGGCAATATGTAAACATCACCAAGTCTTGATGTGTTGAAGAACAAATGAGCTTTTAAAAATTCACCTACCAAACAAATATAAAAGTGACAAACATAACTTAAAGATACTATTAGTGCAAAACCATCTTTTCTGTGTGTGATGACAATAAAACAAAATAATTTGTGAAGCGAAAGCGTCAAATATTAAAACATAAGTTTATAACCTCAAAAACTAATACTCGGTATAAAATTGCAATTCAACTTGGTATAATTGGTGCTTTTTTCAATCAGCTTTTCTACTTCCAACTTCACACATAAGATGGAGGACATAAAAAAGTTGCTAATAAACATGCAACAAGAAATAAGACAGCAGAAAACAGAAATGTTAGAAATGAAAGAAGACATTAAAAATAAAATCAACAATAATATACTTAAATGAGAAATTTAAACAGTTAGAAATAAAAATTGAAGTTCTTGAGAAAAAAATCCAGGAACAAAGTACCTCAATAAATAATTTAGAAAGACATATTAGGCGCAAGAACTTTCATGAACTCCTATCATGAACTAGGGGAAAAAATAGTCTTAAACTAAACGGAAATAAAAAAGAAGTCTGCCTGTATCTCCAGAAACGCCTTACCTCAATTATAAACAAAAACTAACAAATAAACAACATACAAAGAAAACCATACCTGGTAATATTAAAGACTTAATATTACAAAAACCAAAGTTAACTTTCAACCACACAAATGATAACCAGGAACAACTAAAAACAACACAGCAAGATACAGTATATTAAACACCGTAGGAACCTCCTCATCTTTATCCACCAGTACGGCCGGTCACTGTGGGGGAGTTCGACCGTAACCCTCCAAAGAAAAACAGACATACAATGAACAAAGGTATACATATCTTCACCAGAAAAACTTCTAGAATTTAAAGCAGCATTTCCTACAACAAATCAAAAGAACACAAAGATAAAATTATAAACTTTATAGGCATATCAGAAACAAATTATATATTGAAAACAAAATTTGAAAAGAAACCCTTTGCAATCATACAAGCATAATCTCCAACGGAGAGCTCTATGCAGGACTACTTTGGAGGAGGCTTTTAACCGAGAGGGGTCTATACATGAAAAAGACATTTACTAAATAAATACATTTAATTATGAAATTAAATACCTAATTTATAACTATTGTCAGAATTAATGTATGGAAAGAAATTTTATTTATATTTATTATTGTGAAATGTTTAGTATTTACTCAATTGAATTATTTAATTTATTGTGATTGTTTATTTATTTATTTGTTAATGATAATTTATATATATACAATATCATTTCAAATAATATGAAGATTTTTAAAATATGTAATTTAATTCCAGATTACAAAATTATTATTTAAAAAATTATAAGTTAATAAATAGTCACTAAATTATATAATTTTATATTTCAGCAATGTGATATAGACATTTTTTTTATTGTACAACTAAAATGGCTCCTAATATACTCTTAACCAAATAAAATTTTAATGGAATACTTTTATAAAAAGCTGTGCATACTTTTAAAGTAAATTTATATATAAATAGGTAAAATTATAATGTTAAATAAATGTTTTTATGTAAATTTAGTTAGTAAGCCTTTATAATAAATAAATGAATAAATAAATAGAGCTTTATTATTATTATGATTTCTTTTGCATTATTTTAATAAATTAATAATTCCACGCAAAATATTATGTTCGATAATTTCGCACGCTCAGATATAAGCATTATGGTCAAGCGGCCAATGCACAAGTTTGGCAACCACAGGTGTCTGCGATCGTATCCCGGTCGGACACAAAGTTTTTAATTTTGTTTTTTTTTGTATTTATTCAAATTCTTAGTTTGTTTTTTTTAATTTTAGTTTGTTTTTTTGTTTGCCAAAAACTCCGAGCAAAGCTCGGTCGCCCAGGTACTATGCAATATACATGTACATATTTATGTCAAATAACATGTAAAATAACTTGTAAATTTGGTAAAAATATTGTTAAAAAAACTTATAACTATCCTACTCCTAATACTCTATATACATCTCATTCTCTCGTATGTAAGTAACATTCTGAAGGTTCATTTCTACTATGTGTGAATTGCACACACACGCACTTTTTTGTATAAATAACACTAAATCTCGTAAACAGCTACCTACTAAAAAAAATCTGTCGAGGAGAGAAAGGTAGTAAACTATTTTTTATTTACATATAATATGTAGATAGAACTCTATGTTCAAATATGTTGTGAACGTGACACTAGGGCATAATGCTGATATTTTTTAACTGTTTAAGTGTCATTTATACATAAATATATTAAAAAAACCATAGAATGATGGAAGGTTGCCACAAAAGTATAAAACTTTTTATTTTTGTTAGTAACTGCAACTTAAATGAGATTGACGAGAAGTTCTACGGCAGCACCATTTCCGGAGACATACTCATTGACCTTGTTGAGAACATAGACGAGAATATTTTGAAAAAAATAACGCCAGGGTGAGTATGAATATTAATTCGACTATTTCCTGCAGGACAAAAATTGTATTTATAGCAGCTGCATTTCCCCATAGTAAGACACCAAAGAACATAATCGTCGCTAGCGCCTCAATATGGGGGCCCCCGCAGCAATTTCGAATCTATGATAACACCTGGGAATTTAGTGGATTCTACCAGTTTTAGCTCTTCCTCGTTTAATATTACACCATTATTAACAAGTTTAACATTAGGTGTTGATAATTTTATTAATTTTGTCTCTTTATAATTTAATAATAAATTATTAAAATCAAACCAATAGACAACCTTCGAGATAGCATTACTTACATCGTTGTACATGAGTAAATTACGCTTCAATTTAAAAATAAGTGAAGTATCATTAGCGAACAATACTATATCATGTTTGTCCTATAAAAGAAATAGCAAATCATTAATATAAATAAGAAAGAGAAAGGGGCCAATAATAGACCCTTGTAGAACCCCCATATCTAATAGAGCCCCAGGAGATCTATTACCATTTACATCAACCCTCTGTATTCTATTATTTAAATACGAATTCAGAAGGTCGAGTGCCTTATTTCTAATACTATAATGATACCATTTCCTAATCGGCGTCTCATGATGCATACAATCAAAGGCCTTGGATAAGTCACAGAATATCCCAAAGGAATCCTGTGACCTTTCCCAAGCCATAAAATATTTTTTACTAGCTCAACACTAGGAGCGGCCTTTCGTTAATCCAAACTGTTTTTTATGAAGTAGATTGTGTGCATTGAAATGCGTTAACATTTTGCGCTAGTATGATTTGTCCAAAAAATTTACTAAACGTTGGCAGTACCGTAATTGGTCTAAAATTTTAGGGTCTAAGGTACTACCTGATTTTAAAAAAAGGAATAAATTTATTGTTTCGTTAGATCAGGAAACGCACCATGCTCTATACTGCTATTAACTTTTTGAGCGCGACGCTCTCTGCGCTCAAATACTGCTATGATCGGAGCGACCATGGCTCGCATGCGGACGCTTCTTGCGTAATATTTTACGACAAGCGTAAGAATGCTTTTGATTAGGGTGATTTGAATTACTTTAACTGAAAGCTATTGAAACAGAGGCTACTGAGCTATAAAACTAGGTATAAAAAACAAAACAAACGATCGATCAGTTCGCGGTCAACTCGCGTGCGAATGTCGTGCGTAGTTTTGAATACCGGCTATTTCTACTCGATGTTATACCAACAAATACTGACACTCAAAACTTCTGAAGGTTGCGATGATATCTTTGGCGTACATAAGTTTAAATTTAAATACTAAATTACATTCTTTAACGTGTTCCTTTAGTAAAGATTCGGCAATAACGGGATATGAGTTGAGTAATTGAGTTGTTGAAATTAGAATGTCAGTGAAAAAAAAATTTAAAATCAGATGCAACTTCTTGGTCTGAAGTAATAAAATTATCGTTGATATTTTTTTTTTATTTATTTGGATAAGCACACTTACAACATACATACACAGCATTTGTATATTAATTAACAACAATAATAATATAACTTATATGTATGTCAATTACTAGTGTACATAGCATTTCCACATTCAATGATTAAAAGCACAAAAAAAATCATAACTGTTATATTAAAAACAGAGCCAAAAAATAAATAAATCTAAATAATATCATTTTACAAAGGAAATAGATAATAATAAAAGAAATTGAAATAATAATCATTTACAAAAAAAAAAAATTAAATTAAGATTAATAATGGTCATGCATATTATAATAATAATTTAGTATCTTATTTCTAAAAATTGGATGAGAGTCATAAAAAATGTCAATGCCAGGTATTGATCTGAGTATATCATTATATTTACTACACAACCGCACCAAGGGGGCTTGCTTGCCAATATTAGTCCTAACGCAAGGAGTATAAAATATATTGTGGATATGAGCACTTCTATGTGTTCTAGAAGGGACTGATATTAGTATTCTCTCGGTTAATTCAGAATTAGTTACATTGTTATTGATAATTTTATGTAGGAAACTTAATTCTAAAATTTCGCGCCTACACCGAAGAGAAATCATTTTAAATTTTGTCAAACGTTCTTTGTAAAGTTGTCTATGCGAAAAATCCTTTTCATAAAACGCAAGATGTTTCGTAAAATTACGCTGAATACTTTCAATACGCTGGGAGTGTACGCTATACAGTGGATTCCAGATGACACTGGCATACTCGAGACAGCTACGGACTAATGAATAGTACAAAATTAATTTGGTTTTACGTGAAAATCCTCGTGTATTTCGCTTGATAAAACCAAGGTTTTGCGCAGCTTTAATAACTATATTGTCAATATGTGTTGAAAACGTTAAGCGCCTGTCAATAGTGACTTCTAAGTCTTTAATTTGCGATACTTCTTGCAACAAGACATTTCCAATTGAGTAACTGGAGACAAGTGGTTTTTTTTTCCGTGTAAATTTTATATGAAAACATTTGGCCACGTTAAGAGTCATTTCATTGAGACGACACCATTCAACAATAGCGTTGAGGTCGTATTGTATTAAATCTACATCTGAAATTGATTTAACTGTCTTGTATAATTTGAGGTCGTCTGCAAATAATGAACACTTACAATGCTTGATGTTGCCAGTGACATCGTTGACAAAAACCAGAAACAGTAAAGGGCCTAAATGAGAGCCCTGTGGAACCCCACTCTTAGCAAAATACAACTCCGATTCAAAACCAGTCACGGCTACTGTAAGTGGTCTTTGTGATAAATATGACTGAAACCATCTTATTAAAGCAGTTCCAAGTCCATACTGATGTAATTTTTCTAGAAGTATTTGATGATTTACTTTGTCGAACGCGCTGCTGAAATCAGTATATATAGCATCGATTTGGTCTCCTCTGTCCATCGCTAATGCCAAGTCTGATGTAAACACAGTTAAATTAGTTTGAACTGATAATCCTTGTCTGAAACCATGTTGAGAATGTGTGATGATGTTTTTAAAATGATTGCTAAGTAGGGGATACACAAGACTCTCAAACAGTTTAGAAAAACACGAAAGAATTGAGATTGGACGGTAGTTCTTAATGTCCGCTCGATCACCTTTCTTGTATACAGGTACTATTCGTGCTTTTTTCCACTCCTGGGGGAAAATTCCACTTTCCATAGAACTGTTAAATATTACTGTTAATGGAAACGCCAAAGCAGAACCGCATCTTTTTATGAAAATAGGAGGAATTCCGTCTGGACCCGCACTTTTTTGGGGGTCTAAAGATTTAATCTTTTTTAAAACTTCTGCTTCAAAAAATTTTATTTTATTAATACTTGTAATATTGTGTGAGTTAATTGTGTGTGTACTGTCGTGTACATTATTTGGGGTTATTGTGTGTGTTTGTGCATTTTCCGTACGATAGACAGAAGAAAAGTGAGTAGCAAAGAGATTGTATATTTCTTTTTCTGAATTAGTGCTATAGCTGTCCAATGACATAGATGTAGGCAAGAAGTTCATGTTACGTTTGCTTTTATAGTGCTTCCAAAACAACATCGGGTTCTTGGAAATATTATATTCGACGTTTCTTTTATGGGTTTTATAACAACTATCAAATAAATTATGGCAGCGACTACGCAATATTTGAAACTCTAATTTATCCCTAGGATTACCATATTTTCGATATTTGATACGGAGTTTCTCCTTCTCCTTAAGTAATTTGGTAGGGTTGTGGTTGAACTTATGGTCGAAGCTGCGATTTGTGACTTCCATACTTTCACAACCAATTATGTTCTACAACTATATCTTTAAGACATGTAACACCTCAGTCTCTCCCGTGACCATGGATGCTGTAAAGCATTCGAAACGTCGGGAACCAAAAATCAAAATAAATCCGCGAAAAAATCCGAAAAGATAGTTTTATTTAATAATGTCAAAAATTCGCGTAAATCTAAGAAAGTATTATGTGAACCAGTACGGACTGGAAACCGCAAACAAGATACGCCGGTTAGAAGATCTAAAGACAAAGCGCGCAAGATTATTAACATCGTTAACTTTCTTGAAGAGATGTCGTGATCATCGTCTCATTCCTACGTGTGTGAAAATATCTTCCAAAAAGAACATACGAGGAAGCGCTAAGATCGTAAACCAGGCAAGTTTTAAGTTGTTACGGACAGTGATTTGACAAAATCGCCGCGATCTACGCAGAAACGACCGGGACATTGAACAGACGTCTAATATTGTTAAGACAGTATTGACACCATCTGATTTCAACGATTGCATTGACACTTTAAATAAGCGTGAAACAACCAAATATAATCAGTGCAAAATTAAACATATTTTAAAATATCAAAAACTCGTTGAAAAATTAAACATCAAAAAGAAAAAGAAAACCATAGAGTATAACGGAACGCGCCCGTCTACCACAGATACACACTCGTGCGGACCTCAAGCTGTTGTCAATCTGTCAAAACAAACGTTAGACGAACCTACCATTCGGGTACTAAATAAAGGTTTGAATTTTGCTGTAACGCCTACGCGCATTCCTTATGAAAACATTATTTGCGCAGTTGAAGATGCCCTGGCCCAAAATATTATGAAAACTGAGGATATGGAGGCCATACGTCAAGATGTTTCGTCTTTATTATGTCGTAGCACTAGGCCCAAACCAAATCTCAATAAACAAGAGTATTTAGCGTTGAAGAACCTACGCAATAGGTCAGACATCACCGTTCTACGCGCAGACAAAGGAAATGCAACCGTTGTGATGGATACATCAGATTATAATGATAAAATAAAACAACTTTTGTCGGACGAGAGCACGTACAAAAAGGTTAAAACGGATCCAACTACCACCGTTTTAAATAATACTAAAAAGCTAATTAAGGAACACTCCGACACATTAAATCTTGATGTTAAAAATCTTATTCCATCATGTGCAAAACCACCTAAGTTGTATGGACTTCCGAAAATACACAAGACTAACGCTCCGTTACGCCCAATTGTGAGTCAAATCGACTCACCGACTTACAAATTGGCTAAACTAGTAGCAAAAGTACTCTCACCACTCAGAGGATTAACAAGAGCGTTCACAAAGGACTTTTACCATTTTGTCAATGAAGTTAAACACCTAAAACTCATGGACAATGAAACAATGGTTAGTTTCGATGTACAGTCTTTATTTACCAGCCTACCAGTGGAAGACTGTATTGAAATAATATCTAGGAAGCTACTAGATCACAACATGTCAATAGAATACATTGAACTTTTAAAACACTGCCTAACATCCGGCTATCTACTGTGGAATGGTGAATTCTACAGGCAAGTGGATGGAGTGGCCATGGGTTCGCCAGTCTCCCCCGTCGTAGCCGACATCTTCATGGAGGACTTCGAGGAGACTGCTCTGAACACATCACCCGTGACCCCTCGTTTCTACAAGCGGTATGTAGATGACACTTTTACAATATTACCATCTGATAAAATAACTGTATTCTTAGAACACCTTAATTCTATAAATCCTAAAATACAATTTACAATGGAATTAGAATCAGACAAAACCTTAGCTTTCCTAGATGTATTAGTTAAACGTAACCCAGATAACACCTTGAGTCATACTGTGTATAGAAAGAAGACCCATACTGATAGGTACCTGAACGGTGAATCTCACCACCATCCTTCACAGTTAGCTACCGTGGGAAAATCTCTGTTTCAGAGAGCGCGCGGGATCTGTGACGAGCAACACCTGGCCGGAGAACTGCAACATGTCAAGCAAGTTCTGCGTGACAACAAGCTGCAAGTGCCGCGCCTGCGTCACAGTGACCGAGTGAAACCAGCCACAGTCGAGCGCGTCCCTGCAGTTTTGCCATACATGAAAGGAGTCACTGACAAGATTGGCTACATTCTAAAGCGAGCTTCAATTAAAACTTACTTCAAGCCGCCAAAGAAAATTAGTCAGTTCTTACCACCTGTCAAGTGCCACATCCCTCTACAAGATGCAGGAGTCTACAAGCTTGATTGTGATTGTGGGCTCTCTTACATTGGCCAAACAAAGCGATCCATTAGAACCCGGGTCAAAGAACACATAGCTGATGTGAAGCACCGTCGCAATACAACATCTGCTGTCTGCAAACATAGCCAGGACCGCCCAAGCCATTATATTCGTTTCGATAGACCTCAAATCCTGGCGAAAGAAAACCGATATCGCCCTAGAATGATTCGAGAAGCCATAGAAATTAAAAAACATCCAAATTTCAATAGGGAAGATGGCTGGGTACTACCATCGTCATGGGATCCTGTTATTAATATAATAAAATCATATAATAAATATAAACATAACAGACAGGCAGATGTAGTAAGTTCATACTGTGTAGATCAGAATGACAGCTTATCAGAATAATATTTGTCATTTGTAAAAGTATATATTAATAGTGTTGCTTAGTAAGTTGTTTTAAATAATAGCAAACTAAATTAAAATGATTATCCGTAATTAATTTTAACTTTTTAAATTACACATAGAACAATTATATGGCTTTAATAATTAATACTACATTTTTATATTTTTATTTATGGTTATAAATATAATAATGGCAACACTAAATATAGATTACTAATTAATATTTTTTTAAATTGTAATAATTATAAAAATAATAGCAAAAATTAAATAAATAATTTTCCATATTCAATTATAATTAAAATTATAAAAATGTTTAAAGTTAAAAATATTGTAATGTAATTGGTGCAATTTTCATTTTGTTAATTGTGGGTAGGCTGTCTGTAACAACTATATCTTTAAGACATGTAACACCTCAGTCTCTCCCGTGACCATGGATGCTGTAAAGCATTCGAAACGTCGGGAACCAAAAATCAAAATAAATCCGCGAAAAAATCCGAAAAGATAGTTTTATTTAATAATACTTTTACTTTATTGCATTGTGCATTTTACATTTTTGTGCATTTTTTATTTTTTCTTTAATAGACAAAGATTTCGCCATGGAACCTACTCGCCTAATCATTTTTGAGTAGGCACTTACAAAAGATGCAAACGATGTATTTTTGATGTATTATTATAAACTTTTTCACCATACAGTTCATATAGTCTTAAACTCTCTTGTAGATTCCAAGAGTTGCCCATTCAGACCTGTTTTGACCTGATGTGAAAATGGGTGCGAAGTTCTGTAGATAATGCTTACTTTTTTTCATAAGAACATACCACATTCTAAAATAAATTCAAAACACTATTTGTTGTTTTTTTCTGCTCCAAAAGTGTTTGCTATTCAAAAATAGAACTCCTTAAATTTGAACAGTCGAATTATTTACACAGAGTAGATAAATTAGGATAAATTGAAGTTCAAGATTTAACTTGGCTAGTTTTTACCAATAAAGTTTTTAGAAGAGTGAGACCTTACAATATAAAAACAGTAACTTGCGTATAGCATAAGAAGATATGAGTGATTAGCCGAATATAAGAACTCGTATATTGTAATGTAGGTTTTATTTAACAACGGGGAACCAAACTCCTACTAATATTATAAGCGAAAGTTTTTGGGGATAGATGGATGGATGTTTGTTACTTTTTCACGCAAAAGCTTTGTATGGATTCCGTTGAAATTTTATAGTAATGTAGATTATACATCAGAGTAACACATATGCTATAATTTTTAAAGATATACATAGTAATTCATATTTGAACTACGTGTGCGGAGCCGAGGGAAAATGCTAGTATAAAAAAATTCGAAAAGATCAAAATATGTTTTTTTTTCATAGATTACTAGGCAACCTCCCCAACACATATGCTTATACCAAGTTGGCAGCAGAGGACTTCGTTCAGAAACATTCTCAAGGACTTCCGGTAGCTGTATTTAGACCTAGCATGGGTAAATATAATTATTTGATATTATTATTACTACTTTTAATGTTTTAGTGATTGTTTTTATTGTTTTAACGCAATTCTAGAACTACCAGTCAGATTTGAGAATTGAAGACGACCATATTAATACTTTCTTAAATTTTCGCGAATATTGGACATTTTTACCCAACTGCGCGACGCAAAGGAGGATAATGTGTTTATCAGCCTATATATATGTATGTATGTATATATGTTTGTGGGTTTGTACCTTTGTGGCACTATTTAGACGAAACTCGTAGGCTGATTTTGGTAAATGACACGTCGTTTGATTAGTCATGACGGCGCAAATTTGATTAAGCATAAAAATTTAGAAAAATTAAAATGGGCGATTTTGGACGCTATAATGTGAAAAAGATAAAAATGAAAATCGACGAACTATGTCAAATGGGGTATCGTTGAAAAGGTATTTAAAAATCATTTTTAGGTTTCTTTCATCAGTTTTCATTTAAAATAACAGTTCAGGATATCTAATGACTTAAAGTTGGTTAATAACCATTCTCACTAATTTTCCTACTTAAAAATACTTAAAAGTTGCAAATAAATAAATATATGATTATAAAAATAAAAAAAAAACCGACTGCATAAAAGCTAACTAAAAAGATGAAAACAAGTTCACGAAGGAATATTGTATTATAAAATCGGAGACATACATACGAGTAGGTACATCTCGCGGCAAGGATGAGACGTGTTTTTATTTTTATAATATATTTATTTATTAATAAAACTATCTTTTTGGATTTTATCGCGGATTAACTTTTATTTTGGTCCCGTTTATCTCCCGTCACCATGATTGCCGTAAAGTACCTATACGAAACATCGGAAACTAAAAATAAAAATATATCCGCGAAAAAATCTGAAAAAGATAGATTTATTTATGATTTTCATATTATTATAATATAATTTGCTTATGTAGACTACACAAGCAGAGCTGCGGGCAAAAGCTTACACATTGTATGCAGTATTAGATGACCATCGCTTAAATTGTCAAAAGACTTAATCTATACAGATAAATAAAATTAAAGTTTGTAATGTCAAAATAACAGCTTTTTACTAAATGCATATGAAAGTATATACGGTACTTATAAGAAAAACACAACTTTTAAAATTTTTATTTGCTTCTGAAACAGCTGAAATGATTTTAACAGGACTTTCACTGGCAGATATTATAATAAGTAACTTAGGCTACTTTTATTTTAGAAAAAGAATTAGGGTTCCCCTCAAAAAATTAAAAAGTTCCCCGAGCGAAGCGAGGGTAAGTTGCTAGTATTTTAATATAAACGAGCTTTTCTAATGCCATTATTTAGACAATATTGACATAAAGTACCGTACTTCTTTTTTGTTTTACAACTCAGAGTTTTTAAGACCCAAGTTAACATAAGCTAAGACTCTACAAGACTGTACTGAATATTGTATGTATTAATATCTTCCTTACAGTGATATCCACGGCGAGTGAACCTGTACCAGGATGGATCGACAATATATATGGACCTACTGGTGTAAGTATACAATACACGTACATACATACAGACAAACTCACATCATTTTATCTTCATTTTATTATGACAAATAACTGAGGAAGGTATCACACACGATTGCGAAAGTCATAGGTGTGAGTCCTGAGTAAGTCAAAAATGCATGTTAGTTTATTTTAACATAACAATAAGTATGTGTCAGTTGTCTTGAAGTTAGGAAGTAGGCAGTATTCATTAGCCCTCGTGTCTTAAAGATCACATAAAGTCATCATATGTGTATATGTATGTATTTACCATTTCAGGTAATAGCAGGAGCAGGTGTGGGTCTCATACACACCTTACACTTCAACATACAAACCAAAACCGATGTGGTCCCAGGGGACTACGTAGTTAATGGAATTATAGCAGCGGCCTGGAAAACCGCCAAAGACTATCCTGGAAATTATGAACATTCTGACCTCGCTAATTCGCCCACTATATACAATTATGTATCTTCTGAACAAAATCCTTTGATTATGGGTAAGATTTTAGCATTACAATTTTTCCAGTGCGTTTTGACTTTTTGTCTCATTCGCGGTATGTAACTTTGTGTAGTCCAGGTTCGATATCTGAGCTAAGCTGAGTTATTTTGTCAAGATTTGAACATAATAACCTTTGATTTCTGACAAGAGAGCATGATAACAAGGATAGAGGTTTTTTTAAAACACACCACGATTACCTTTAAATTATCTCATGAGTAGTTACTTAGTATAATGTCCTCCCGACGAATTTCGGCCACGGCGGCTAATCTCACTGAGACCAGCGAACCGCGCAGGAGATATTATAATATACAAGTATACGCGCAGACACAACGTGTACTCTCTATTCCTTGTACTCTAAAAGTTCGATGGGATGATACTTCGACACGACCGGTGAGACTTAAGGAGCAGGACCGACGGCTTTACGTGCTCTCCGAGGCACGGGGGTGAAACACCGCCAACTTCCCAACTCCGGGCTTCCGAATTGCTTGACAGAAATATTCAATAGCTTCCGACTACTACCGACCTCATACTCAGGGCCTCCAGATCTAAGATCACCGAGGCAGTTAATTAGTATTAAGAACTAAAGTAGGAAAATTATGTATGGCATACCACAATAATATATTAGAATGCAAATCTTAAGCTTTTTGTCGTAATGAAAGATTGTTTTTATTTATCATACAGATTGAGTTGATTATAAAACTAGACTTGCTCATTTTCTACCAAAAAACTATTATTACCCTGATTCAGTTTGATTGTTTAGTTTTCCTTTAAATAACTTGGCACTTCTCGAAAATTTTTATAATGGGGCCTGGGGAATACAAATCTAACATGCCCTATGGAATTCAAATTTATAGAATATAAAAATTTAAATTTATGGCGTAACATCAGAGTAGTCAAATAAGAGGCAGTGGTAGCCCAGTGGTAACGCGCTCGCTGGGGAATTCGAGTGAAGCGGGTTCAAATCCCGGTTCTTGTATCTCTGATATTTTCATGGGCGAAACATTTCTACATGATTACTACTTGCCTTACGGAGAAGGAAAATATCGTGAGGAAACCTGCATGTCTGAGATAACCTAGCAAGTTTTCGAAAGACATGTGATGCCCGCCAACCCGCACTTGGCCAGCGTGGTGGACTATGGCCTCGATCTCCTTCGTATTGAAGGGAGGCCCATGCCCAGCAGTGGGACGTTAAAAAAGGGCTGAATACATACATACAATCAAATAAGAATCTCGTGTTATATACCTAGTTATAATATTTGCATTTATCACAATTGTTTTATTTGTTTATAGAAACATTAATGAATAACATAGTAAAATATGAATGGGAAGTGCCGACAATGAAAGCGGTCTGGATATACATGTGTTGGATAACTCCTTCAAAATTCTTATATAACTTTTACTTTTTATTACTACATTCGATTCCGGCGCTCATAGTAGATACCATCGCTATTTTGATTGGAAAAAAACCTTTGTAAGTAATGGTCAGAGAACACATAAGCTTGTAACTTTCCTTCCTTAATTGCCTTCCCAAAACTGATAACTAATTATGATATTAGTAAATCAGTAAATATCAGTACTAAAATTTGAACATACATTCGACATGCTTAACACGTCTATTAGCCATCACGAGAATTTTAGTAGAGACAAGGCATTTCTTTAAAGCAAAGCTACTCACGAGAAGTCAGCTTGATATAATTTTAAAAATGGCTTTTTTGGTACTTCTGGCTATAATTATTGATTTACTGTAAATAATAATTTGAAGGCATTCAGGAAGAACCAGAGGGTAAATCCCTAGTAATATTATAATACGTATGATATGAGAGGAAATAATAGATATATAAGTTTTTTGTTGTTAATTCGTGTCTTACTCTAATCCTTAATTATTTTACAGCTTAAGACGAGCTTACAAAAAGATCAGAAAGTATTTAGAAATTATAAGCTATTTTGGCCTGCAGGAATGGAAGTTTCATAACAAAAACACACTAAGCCTACTAAAGGAGTTAGATGACACGGACAAACATATATTTAATTGTGACATCGAAACCTTAAAATGGGAGGAATATTGTAAGAATTATATAATAGGGATACGTGTACATTTATTAAAAGATCCTTTAGAAACGGTACCTCAGGCCAGAAAGAAATATTTCAAATTAAAATTGGCTCACTATTTCTTAGTATCTGTCATTGCTTTAGGATTATTGGGATTTATATCGATTTTAGTGAGATTATTTATATAAGATTTGCCCGTAATTTTTAAGTAATGCGTTTTTTGTTACATAAAAATGAATCTGTTAGTTAAAAAAATGCTATATCTGAGACCGTTATCTCTTGAAATACACGCTATTTTTTACTATGGTGGTTTATTTATTATTATGATTTAAATTATCATCCTTAGTATTGTATATAACATATACAAAATTGAATAGAATAAACAAATAAATAAATAAATAAATATAACTAATTAATATAACTTAAATGATTTTAACAGTTAGTTCTTCTTAACTAAATTTCTACCGACTTCGTATGATCTTCCTTACAGACTAAGTTAAAATATTAGATTTCAAGATTTAAAAGTTTTTGTATTTGTTTGACTAAAGTATATTTTTGTTAACGAGTTTGTGTCATCCTTTACCGCCTTGAAGATTCACTATGAGACCCACTTTGACTTAACGGTGAGTGAGTGGTTACATAAAGACTAAACTTAAGGAAGTATTTTTGAAATGGAAGAAATGCATCGTCATACAACACTAAAGTCAAAGAAAAAACAAAGTGATCCACAAGGTGACGAATATTCGAGCAGAAGTTTTTCGAATGTTGGTAGTGGAAAAACATTGAAAAGAAAGGTTTAAAAAGAGGTTTTGAAAGACAAAAACAGATATACGAGCCAGTATGTCCATTTTCTGTATTGGAAGAATTTTGATGTAGTATGATGATAGCTGGTTATCTAGTGTGAACATATATGATACTTTTTATTGCGGAAAAATATCACATCTCTGAGAAATCTGCCAATTAAAATCATAACATAAAGCCAAAGAAATTGTTTTTTTTTAGTTTTAACGCAAACGAAGCCGCGAGTTTCGCTAGTATAACATAAAGCTAAAGGGTTTTTTTGTAGATTAAATGCGGGCAAAGCCGCCGATTTTTAAGATATTAACAATAAAATAAATAACATTTGATATTTAATTATAAAACTTAATGAAAACAAATAAAATATATAACAAATATTGTAATACAAGCGTTTTGGTGTTTTTTTTTGTATTTTTTGTAATTGATTATGTTTGCTGTAAAGCAGAACCAAAAATCAATAAAATTAATCCGCGAAAAAACTCGAAAATGTAGTTTTATTTAAACGGTCGAACATTTGTGTAAATTTAAGTAAAGATTCAGCCTTATAGGGTGACAGTTTCGAAAAATCGGATCTACTGAATTTTTTACTTCGTTTTCAGATATTGATGTATATCTGGCTAGCTTTCTCGCTAATTTTAGCCAAGATTGGAATTCTTCCATATATACAGGCTGTGTTTGTTTTCTATTTTTTAATCTTTCAAAACCGCTGTTCAATGTTGTCAGCTTTCACTACCAACATTCAAAGCACTTCTGCTCGAATACTCGTCGTGGTGTGGATCTCTTTATATGTTCTTTGACTTAAGTGCTCTGGTATCGTAACGTATGGATTTCAATTCCAAAAAACGAGTTTCTAAAGTTTAGTCGCCATCCAACCACTTACTAATATTCTTGACTTAACGGGGTCTCATAATGAATCTTCAAGGTGGGAAAGAATGATAGAAGCTCTTAACTCAAAATACACTTAAATAAAAAAAAAGAAAACGAGCGATCCTTACAGTAATCGTATATCTAAAAATATTATCCGTATTTAATATTATAAATGTAAAGGTTTGTGAGTATGGATGTTTGTTACTCTTTCACGCTAGAACGGCTGAACGGATCTGGATGAAATTTGGCTCAGAGAGAGACTTTTTATCTCGTACAAATGTATGGTTCCCGTGGGATAGGTTTGTTATTGATTTCCTAGAGACAAACTCGAGCGCAGCAAGGGTGAGCCGCTAATATTTACATAAGTAGGTTTTTATGTAGATAAGTCGAGCTTGATGACAACTGTGTTTTGTTAAAGGCAATAACAAAGTCTAGGTAGAACGCGTCTGCCTAGAAATCACCTATTCGCCCTAACCGTAAAAGTACTTTAGTTATTCCTGCCAGAAAATACGGGTTGTGGGAGATCGTTCCACATCTTAGTGATTTGTGGTAGAAATGTTAAGCATATTTGACGACACGTTTGAAGGGCACGGAATGGAGTTTAGGAATTTATCCAGGATTAGCTCAAATATGTAGTTTGCTATTAATATTTTAATTAATATTAATGGTGTTTGTTCTTTATATTAATATTAATACTAGCGACTTACAGTCGCTTCCCTTGGGTTCGTTACTAGGTACGCTTTAACGGAAGTATAGAACAGATTATATTATGTACATTGTACAATACATGGGTATAGGTAAGTACTATAAAAAATATATAAATATCCCTTACTTGAGTAAATGATTGATTACCAATTCAATTTTTCTAAGGTATCCTAAATATTAACCCGAGTAATAAGTTATCACTACACAAAATTTAGTTAAAATCGGTTTTGTACTTTTTGCGTGAAACGCGCACATCGATTTGACTAAGTTAGTTTTATTACATGTATAGATAAGAATAGATATTGTGAGTGTACCTCAGAAGATAGACATATACTGATGCAGATTTTTCTGTAGGCCTTTTCAAGACATACATTTTTTAGTACATATTGATGTATGTTTTAAGTTTTAGCCAGCGGAAGGTTTCTAAAAACGGCTCGATGAAAGGAGTTATTGTATTTTTCCGTGGGAAAGAAAGATTTTCCTGAAGTAAAAGGTATTTTAAAAGTTTACCCGAGTAATAAGTTATCACTTCACCAAATTTCGTTGTAATCGGTTCATTACTTTTTTTGTGAAACGCGCACACACAAACAGACAAACAGACATGCAGACAGAAAATTTAAAAACTATTGTTTTGAGGTCTATATTGTGTACAATAATATGTTACAGTCATTGATTTTAAAAAAATATTTCATGTACAGATTTTGTTAAGTTACTGCATGCTTTATTATAGTAGGTATATAGATTAATTATGATGTACTCATGTGGTTTTTCCACGTAATACGCGTGTACAAGAGATGAAGAGCTTTAGACTTATAGCAAATTAAACGTTGGATTATCGCCGGTAATGAGGCTTCCTTTGTTCGTTTGAAGTGAACCTAATTTGAATTGATAATTAGACTCATACTAGTGATTTATTCAGACTTCGACCGGGTCATATTCGTCTGTAGGTACCTTTTGTATTTTAAAATGAAATGAAATAAACTTTATTAAAATAGGCAATATTTCTCAATTCCATGAACGAGAAACTCTTGAACAGACTAATACGCTTCGCTCAATAAAATATTTTTATTTATCATATTATATTATGATGACAGAGTCGCCATATATATATATATATATATATATATATATATATATATATATATATATATATATATATATATATATATATATATATATATATATACATATATATATATATATATATATTACAGTTTAATTTCGTTCAGTTTAGGATCAGACTTAAGATTTCACTGGCTTTCAATAACAATGACCTGGAGTAGCATAAAGGGACTATATTAATTACATTAAATAACATAATTTCGTTTTACACCTTATTTTTTTTTTAATTAATTTTCACACTTTATAAAAAATACTTTAGCATTTTTTATCCCCTAATTAGATACAAATCATTCATCATCATCTTAGTCAATAATAATATTAAAAATTAATTAAAACTTATCTACTATGACCCTTTTTTTGCTTCGCGGGTTAACTGTTAGGTACTAAAGGGCGCACGCGAGTGAAATGAGGGCAAGTCGCTTGTATTGTAAATACAAAAGTTTTGAATGGGTTCATTAGGTGGTTCACGCTTTAATGGCTCAATCGATTTGAGTATAAAAACTTTTTAACAAAAAATAAAAACCGACTTTCAGGCACTAAAATGTAAAAATTAACTAAAAGGAGGTTTTCATTTAGAATAGATACCTAATCAGATATTTTCGAAGCCGGTGCCAGCCGATACAAAGCAAATCTAATATATTTCGATACGTAAAATACATATTTACCTAATAGATATTCATATCTTAAAATCCTATTTGGAAGTCGGTTAAAAATCGAAAGGAAGATAGCTTACATCCTGTATTACAAAGGCAATTTTTTGTCGAGGTACCTTCAAAAATCTTGTTGCTAAATTTAAAAGCTCTTCAAAATTTCTATATTTAAAAGCTGCAGTAGAAAAGTGTAAGAAAGCAATCTATTTCAAGCGTCGCGTGAGCAGTAGTACTCGTAGGTATATCTGAACAAATGATTTCCTTCCGTCGCCTGAATGCAATATATGATGTTATAAATAAACCTTTGCTACTATAGGTAATATTCGTTTTCCTTGTACTAACTCCCATGTTTGTTATTACTTTATTTAATACTAGCGTTTGCCCTCGCTTCACTCGGGTGCGTTCCTAGTTGCCTTATAGAGAGCTTATTGCCCGATTTCACCAACAACCCATAAGCTACCGCCTACGTATGGGACCGCTAGCTTAAAAGTCCCCTAAACTAGCCCCTAAATTAAATTTCGTTTTACGATCGTCTTTAAGCCCATATTTCGAGCACCTAAATTTAGGGGGCCTTTTAATATTTAGGTGACCCCTAACCGTCGGTGAAACAGAAACTGTCCCCAAACAGCTTCCTAACCATGCTTAGGGGATCCCTTAAACTTAGATGACGTTGGTAAAATCGGGCATTTGTGTATGTAGTACTCCATACCAACCAAGGTTTTAAAGCAAAACACACAGACACACGCAAACAAAATAATACTTGCTTGCCCATACAAACTTTCATGTCCAATTTCACCCCCTTAAGAGATGATTGTTGATTGATGATTTGATGATGTCCTTTCTAGGGTTTCAAGCTATCTTCTTACTGAATTGGGTTTCAAGCTATCTTCTTACTGAATTTCATCTAAATCGGTTCAATAGTTTCCAAGCTTATTGGGTACAAATAAACAAACAAACAAAAAAATCTTTACTCTTTATAATATTAGCATTGATTGTATAATATGTAATGACATACAACTTCAAATACAGTGTAATGTATCTATCGGTGGGTTCGATTGAAAAAAAATTGTTATTCCTGCAGGATGAAATTCAAATCTTATTCCGAGATTAAATGTTCGAGAATTACTTTCATTTTATAACTTAAGGAAATAATTGTGAGATTTAGTACAAAACAGTTTTTTTTTTAATTTACATGGAACTTAGTGCTAAAGCACTACGGCACTTTATGACATACAATTCTGTTATGGTCTAATATATATTATGTAAACGTGATAAAAAAAATCGTAACTATATTTAGAACTATAGTTT